TATTTATGGCTGCGAGATTGTGTGGGAGGCAAGGCAACGACGCGGGGCGAAGGCAGGCTCACCGGCGGCAGTGTCCGGCTCGAGCACAAGCTAGAGGAGGGAGACGGTTGACAAGCAGGGCGAGGCTATCAGGGAGACAAGCGAAGGAGAGGAGGTGGGGAGCGTCCAAGCATGGGCTTTGGCCTGGGTTGGCCCAAGAAGGGAGCACGGGGAAAAAGGAAGCAGGCCGCTGCTGGGCTGCGAGGAGAGGAAGCGAAGGATGAGAGAGTGGGCCACGGAAGAGAAAGAGGCCTATGGGCCAGAAATGAGAGAGAGAGAATTTTTCATTTTTCAAATCCTTTTCTATTTTGTTTTCAAAACCAAATTCAATTATGAACCAAATACAAATTCAAATAGAGTTTCAAATATACTTTTCAACTCAAATAAAAACGGAAAATTTTGGTAGGCTTCCAAAAATAAATTTTACAACCCTTTTAAACTATTTTATTTTCCAATTCTCTTTTTCTTTCTTTTCTTTTACCTCAAAGCCATTTTTAATTTCATTTTCAAAAGCATTTTGAATTCATTTTGAATTTTGAATTCAACCACTCATTGTAATAAATCAAATGCACCGACATGTATGCACATCCATGTTGCTACTCCTTATGATGAATTTTAATAAAATGAAAAATATTCTTTTTCCTATATTTCATGTGCACAAAAATTCATAAATAAATCATTTTAATCCTATTTTTAAAAGTACAAATTTTAGGGTGTTACAGAGGAGTACCGCCGTCGCTGCTCAGAGGGTGGGTGAGGGGCACCGCGCCGCTGCTCAGAGGGTGGGGGACGGGCGCCGCTCAGTGGGGGAGGCTGGGGGAGCGACGCCTCATGGTGAAGGAAGGAGAGAATGGAGGGAGGGGAGATCGAGTGCGCCGCGCGCGCCCTCTGCCCGAGTGCGCCGGAAGGAGAGGCTGATAGAAAGAGGGGAGAGAGAGGCGGCTGTGTGAGAGGAAGAGATTGAGATGTCTCTAAACCCTAACTTATGCTTTTGTACAGGCCCGAGAGCAGTCCGATTTGGGCTTTTGTTGGGCCTCGGCCATGATTAACACAGGCGGGCCTGCCTCCGAAAATTGCCAGTATTTTTTGATCGCCTCTGTAAATCGATTTTACGAGGCGGACAATCGTGACTGCCTCGATAAATGAAAATGACTGCCTCTGTTAATAGCCCAGCATTTTAGGAGGCGGTTGAATTTTGTGCCTGTCTCCGTTAATGTTTGGACACTGCCTCCTAAAATTATTTGTGTAGTAGTGGGTACTGTAGCCGCCGATATCCCCCAACCACCCATCACAGCACCTTGCGCTGCCAGCGAATTCCAGATCCTGCATGTTGGTCTGCCATGAAGGTTCAATCCACTAGTGCGCGAGGATGAGTCAACGTTAAGCGAGCAGCATTAGCGGGCCGTGGCACATTGACAGGCTATACGCATAATAATTTTTGGATGCAAAGGAGCAAGCTTATATAGGTAATAATAAACCGTCATTGGTCCTTGCTTAAGTTGAGCTTTTTTGATTGGTTCTCGCCAACATGACAAATTTCAGAATTGTGTAGCAGCAATGCTCTTTACTAACCACTACTACTGGAAGGTTTGTAGAGGCGGTTAGAAACCATTTGTAGAGATGACTATTTGGTGTCTCTACCTGCCTCTTTCTAGAAATAAATGATTTTTAGAGCAATAGAAATCCATCTATAGAGACAAGCCAAAACTCAACCGCCTCAAATCGGACCAAAAAACAGGAAAGAATTTTGCGCACGTTAGGCCACAAGGGATCAACTCACGACCTCTAACCTCGCTCGTTGTTTCCTTACCACTAGGCCTCAAATTTAATTGAATTGTGACTAAGTGATTGATATAACCCTTTCGTCTTTACTCTCTTGAATATTGTAATGTATATTTAAGATCCTAACCAAACTCAAATGGAAAAAGTTTTAACCGGGAAATTTTAGATCCCTTTCAGTACTACAACTTCAGTTTAGTTTGAGTCTAAAAAAAAGAATTTCAAAATCATTAATGTTATAATAGGATTTAGGGCCCTAAATGATTTGAAATAAAAAAGTCGTCAACGGTAAAGTTGCATATCTCTTCGAGTACTATAACTTTGTCTAGGTTATTTCTTCATTCCTGGTACTTTGAAAAAATTAAAAAAATTATGAATTTTGAAATATGAAAACTTAAAACAAATTTTCAAATAAAAAATAATCCACTAGAAAGGTGCAGATCCCTTCGAGTATTAGAACTTTGGGTTTGGTCATTTCTTCGTCCGAGATAAGTTGAAAAAAATTAGAAGTTGAATTTCAAAATATATAAACTTAAAATAATATTTTCTTGCCTTAAATGATTTCAAATGGAAGAGCAGTCAACTACAAAGTTCTAAATCTCTTTGAGTACAATTCTTTAATATAAATTCTATCTTCACCGGACTTGATTTGAAAAGTTATAAACAACTATTTTTACAGGTGGGTCGAATTTCCACCATCTCTAGAAAGTCTCAACTGCCTCTAAAAATGGGTCTAGAAATGCCTCCATCTGTAGTGGTGGCTGCAAAGCCTAGAGGCAATTTGGCATGCTAGCCATGCAGCTCTAAAATTGGTTTTTGTACTAGTCAACTTTGATATGAAGATGTTTGTGTGGAATTTTTAGACAGCATGTTTTCATATCACTAGGTCCATCTTTATGTGTATGGGCAAGCCGAAAAGCACAATGTTTAATATGGTTAGTTTACACGAAGAATGGATGGTAGTAGTGCGTACAATGAGAGGTAGCTGACAGAGCAACTTAGTCAAGGGGAAATTTTGTTGCTTTATTTATTTGTGGCATGCTTGCCGTCTTTGTTATGGTATCTTGCACTTATTTGTTGTACTGTCTTGTGCATTTGTAGTAGGTTAACAATTTAGGATAGATTGAATTACATCTTGCACTGAATGGTTAGAGGATGCGGTTGAGTCTAATGTCTACTCGACTTATATTTCAGTCAGAACAACATAGTAGCCTAGAGCATATTTTGCACCTACAAACATTAATTTGTACCTGAAGTTGATAGGGAGGCATATGTTAGTGCAATGTTAATTGATTATGATAAATTCAAGGAAAAAAGTACTGTTCAAATTTTATGTGTGAAAGCCACGGCTATTTTCTCCCTGTTACATGCCAACATGTACTAGTGCATAAGCCCCACATGAATGGCTAAGATGTATTGTAGAGTTGTCTATGAGTGGTGAAGTAAATTTCAGAAATTATGTACCTATCATGTTGCTGTGGAATGTTTATATAGTGTTTTGTCTCCCATTGTCTTACGTTTATGGGTACGTAATTGTAACATTGCCAACGTGAATAGGTTAATGGTTGTTGCATACATTTATAGGTACAATTAAATGTGCGTTATTGTTATGTTCATCGATGTAGTCCTTCACGTACCATTAGCCTGTTTCTTGAGTGCAACGACCAATCTGCTAGACACCCCACACGATTGCAAACAAACTTCCTCCCATAGTCGAGCGAACCACCTCTAGCACCAAGTGAACAAAAGATCCAGCGCCTGATGATGGGTAAGTCTACCTCAAGTGCCCTCAATGCTCGTGGAGGGCAATGGGTTGGTGGGATGACTACCCTCGAGACAAGACCTCGAGCAAATGCCTCACTAGAAGATGGAAACCTGACCTCCCAGACTTAATTGGGTGGCAGTGTGAGACCTGTCTGGGCTAGAAGCGGAAAGAACATGATAATACGAGATGAGGGACATAGCAACTGGCAAATATCACCGGGCCGCCTAGGTGGCGTAAAGTGTGTCGGGGCAGAGATTGATTAAACAGGATGAGCAACATGGTAGCGGCTAGACCTAACTTGGATGGGAGCTCTTGACTAAGAGACGAGCCGAGAGGAGGGTATATGGGTCTGAACAATTACTATTGGAGATAAAATGCAATTACAGTTATGGCCATAGCAAAATAACTCTTATTCCAATAATTGCTTTTTAAAATCAACGCCAGCAATATTTACACACAAAAATACCTAGAAGTACCAGCTTTCCACTACCAACCACTTTAAGAAAGCTCATAATTCGTAGGTTGGGGCCGGTTGTGGTGACATTTGCATATATATATTTTTTCCCTAATGGCTGAGTCTACAAAAGAGAATTTCAGGAGCCCAGTCAACAAATGTGACGTAATCCACAGTTTTGTAGGAAGGAGATCTATGAGTATTGTTCAACAAGCACAAATTAAGTATTCATTAAGACAAGATTATTGTCTTTGTTGGTGTCGTTTCACTGTCCTTGGACTGTTGACTGGACAGTGGACACTGCTTCCTTTTGTTAAGCCTCCTTTCAGACCTGTTTTCTTCATCGATCTGCCGAGAGAAGAGCCGCTACACATAGCACCAGGCATGAGCCAACAAACAAGCTTAGATTTCAGAGCATAATCTGGAAGATTTTCACACACACACGCGCGCAGAGAGAGAGAGAGAGAGAGAGAGAGAGAGAGAGAGAGAGAGAGAGAGGAATGGGCGGTTCATCAGGCCTTGTGGACTGGAGAGGACGGCCGGTGAACACCAAGAAGCACGGAGGAGTGAGAGCTTCAATCTTCATTCATGGTAGGCCAGTAGTACTAGCATAGCATCCATAGTTCATGGGGCCTGTTTCTTTTGAGTGCTCTCAGACCCTTGCTCAACTGTTGAGTCCAGTAATCGTCGATGATATAAAGTTCCCTTTTCAAAGTGTTTCAGATCTGCTTTCTCATAATCTAAAAGTATATATGCACAGTTGCACACAACACACATCTGGTTTAGATAGCTTATTATAATGTCTTCTTTAGCTAGGTTGCTCATCTAGTCATCTTACCTACTCCTGCTTTTTTTGTTCTCTCCAATAATTCAGACAGACGTGACCTATTTTGTTTCACTGGACATTGACATCGCCATGGTTGATCTTAGCAATCGGTTTCTCTATCAAACGTTCCGTTCCACATGCACAAGGCTGCTTCCGTCCTGCTCACAGTTTTTACCTGTTCGTGCACCTCGATCTTCCTTGCAGCGCTGGTGCTGCTCAGCAACGCAGCCAACATTGCCAACATACTGAATCTTGTAAGCTACCTGCGCGAGGAGATGCACATGGATGTGGCGAGGGCCTCTACGATGGCGAGCAACTTCTTTGCCGCGCTGCAGATGTTCTCCATCCCAGCAGCCTTCCTTGCTGACTCCTACGTCAAGCGCTTCTACACTGTCCTCATCTTTGGCCCAATCGAAATACTGGTATTGTATAAGTTGTTACTCCATTTTTTCAGACAAGGTGCCTCTATATTTTTAATTGTTCCTTCTAAGGTATTACTTGTTTCAGGAAAAAAGATAATATTCCTGTTCTACACATGCACATCAGTTTGCTTGTCATGTGATCATGTCAACTGCTAACTAGTTGTGTAGTGGAGACACAAGTCTTGTCATTTTCATCTTTGTTTCATGGTCACTAACTAAAGTGTAATAATTGTCAGATTGAACAAATGCACTCAGATCCGATCCGATCCATAAACATGCTCATCATGCACATGTCGCAGGCTCGCAGCGCTCTGCGAAGTGGTACAAAACCAAACTATTGGGATAAGATGCTTTTGCTTTAATATGAACTGACATAATGTTGGTCTGACATGGTGTATAATAATGAACCAGCACATATATATCTTTGTTGAACGCATAACAGAAGATTATTAAGTTTTTTGTGATGCATTGCCTTGGCGAGGATGCAGCAGTGACTAGAACGAAGATATGTAGAAAACTTCCCTCAACGCTTAGTGTACAAGTGTATCATCTATTGCCTTCTGGTTTGAAACTAGTACAAACTTTCAACAGCTTCATTGGTGAGTTGATCGGTGCCACTCAGATCATTTGAGTAGATTGATAGACTAGAATTAGTGTTATGCTGCCTTTTGGATTAGAACTTCGGAATTCCTCTCCGTGACCAAAAGGTCAGTAAGCACTCGAGGTTGATGCAGCTGGTGTTCTACTATATTCTCCGGTGGTGGTCTGTCACTCTGCTGACTTTATTTAGGTGTCACGTATGCGTAGTTGGTGATCTGTCACTCCGGTGACTTTAGTATTTGGTTGGGTAAGTAAGTAGGGTTACCAATAATGATTGGTACTCTATTTGTGGGGACTCGGCAAATGAGTCACTGAAATGTTGGTGAGTCCTAGGCAGGGTTACGATTTTTTGCCCTACTTTTTTTTTATTCAGATAATTAACATTTGTTTAGATTTTCAAATTTTAGCTAAAAATTTCACAATGTTTCAAAAGCTTTTGCCGGAATTATGGCAATTTCGATCTGTTTCTACCTGTCCCCTTTGGTATTAGGTTCATACTTACATTTTTCTGGAACTATATTGTTTTCTAGGCATTTAACTTCTCCGTTCTTCTGGAACTATATTGTTTAGTTCTACACATTCTCCAATATATGTCTAGTTTCGCACCCTTCAAATTTCTTGAATTTTATCATTAGTAGTGTACAAACAACTTTTTAATGAATACTTCAATTAGATGTGCAATTTCACCTATTAATCTCCAGAACATATAAAAATATCAAATCATCAAAGTAAGACAGCAGACATTACTGCTGATCAAAGAAGCAATTTAACCAGAAATGTTTATAACCATCTAATTATTAGAAACGAAAAAAAAGAGATGTAGGACTAATATAACTAAGCACGGTGATGTGCAGGGCTATATCCTTCTGGCGGTCCAAGCGCATGTCCCATCTCTGCACCCGCCACCGTGCGTTGCCGGACAGCAGGCAACCACCATCTGCGAGTCCGTGCACGGCTCAAACCTGAGCCTGCTCCTGCTGGGCCTCTACCTGATCCCCATCGGCGATGGGGCGGCTCGGGCGTGCCTCCCAGCTCTCGGCGGGGAGCAGTTTGACACGTCCGATCCCGTAGAGCAGAGGCAGGAGTCGAGCTTCTTCAACTGGTACACTTTCGCCATCTCGACGGGTGGCTTCGTGGGGCTCGTCTTCATCGTGTGGGTGGAGAACAGTAAAGGCTGGGACCTTGGCTTCGTTGTCTGTGCCTTGTTTGTGATGCTGGGGATGCTGATATGGATTGCCGGCCTCCCGTTCTACAGGAACCAGCTGCCAAGTGGTAGTCCCATCACAAGGATATTGCAAGTATGTATTATTGATCAAACAATATGTTAACTTCATGGATAATGTTTTGCTTATGTTGCACGGTATTGCTAATGACCTTTTCACGCCCTCGTTAGGTTCTTGTAGCAGCATTCAAGAAAAGAAAAGTTGCATTACCAGCCAACTCAAGTGAGCTAAAGCAAATAAGCCATGACGACACCAGTGCCCTCGAAATGCTGCATAGAACCGGCGGATTTCAGTAAGTAGCTAGCTAGAGAACATTCCAATTACTCCTCCAAACATTGGTGAAATAATGCAATAAAAAGCTAGGTTGAATGTGTCCGGTCATTTATGTTTCCTTTTTTTTTCCAGCTGCATTGACAAAGCAGCAGTAGACACCGGAAAGACTGGTGCCTGGACTCTCTGCAGCATAACCCAGGTGGAGGAGACCAAGATCATCCTCCGCATGGTGCCCATCTTCCTCAGTGCTGTGCTGGGGTACATTCCGGTGCCGCTCATCCTCAATTTCACCGTGCAGCAGGGAAACACAATGGACACCAGGCTTGGAGCGGTTCACATCTCACCCGCAACGCTATTCGTCATCCCTACGGTTTTCCAGATGGTTATCCTCATCGTTTACGACCGGTTCATTGTCCCGTTCCTAAGACGAATAACTGGGTACGTGGGCGGTGTCACGCACCTCCAGCGCATCGGCATCGGGTTCCTTTCAACCGTAGTGGCCACCAGCATTGCAGCCCTAGTGGAGGCCAAGAGGAAAAAGGTGGCAGAAGACAGTGGCCTTGTGGATGCTACAACTGGAATTCCAATGTCTGTTTTCTGGCTGACCATACAGTACTTCCTCCTAGGTGTTGTGGATGTCACCTCCTTTGTAGGGCTTCTTGAGTTCTTCTACAGTGAGGCGTCCATGGGGATGAAGTCCATTGGGAGCTCCATCTTCTACTGCATCCTTGGGGTGTCTGCTTGGCTGGGGAGCCTGTTGATCCAATTGGCAAACCGATTTTCAAGACACAGTGATGGTACAGGAGGCTGGCTTGATGGCACAAACTTGAACAAGGGGAAACTTGATCGATTCTATTGGTTGCTAGCAGTTCTTGAGGTGGTATCACTATTAGTGTACGCCTTTTTCGCTTGGAGGTATGTTTACAGGAATGACCAAAGGGTTGTGGTTGATGGAGATAATAAGGCTCCATCAGACGGTGCTATAAATGTGATCTGATCACCTGCAAGTGTTTCAAAGGAGGTATTGTGAATGGTGACGTGGACAATTCATGGATTAGCATGCACTCAAGCAAATCAGCTGAGAAATATATTTCTGGTTGGTTTCATACTCCCTTTGTTGGTCACAAATAAGTAATGGTATTAACACATTATTGAGAAAATATGACTTCAACCAGTAGGTTTTGTTGTAATATATATTTGTAATGTTGAGCACTCTTGTTGGCAGTTTGAGTTGGAAAACGCATGCATGTAATGTTGAGAAAACCATATTTAATTGTATACCCCGATTAAGTTTATTTCTTTTCTCTGGTTTTCTTAATTCCATGTCATACCATCCCATGTATTAATTACATGTTACAACCAAAGAGAGGTAGACCAACTTAACTCAATCAAATCCCATACAAAGCTAACATATAGCATATTTAAACCTTTTACATGACAGCTTAGATAAACAATTGAAATTGCATCATAAAACGCATAAGAAGAAGTAAAAGATAAAAATTTTATAACTAACCAACAAAAGATCAATCGATGACGACGCATTCACGCTGCCATATTCTTCATGAATCATTAGAAGCAATCTATATACAAAAAAAAAATGAGTGACACAAATTTCAAGTATTTAACTTCAAAGTTTTGAAGGTAGAAGAGAACATATATCATACCACTAAATTGTTCCGAGGCACTAACATACTGCGGGTTTTCATGTCTTCAAATTGTTTTATGATTTTGTCATTTCTTATGCTTCTAAATATCTACTTCTCAGTGTAGCATATCATTGAGTGATTGAGCCATTCATCACCCATTTTGTTACGCAAATCTGTCTTTACAATAGACATAACAGAAAATATCCTCTCAACTAAAATTGTTGCCACTTGAAGAATTAATGTTAAATCAATGAACCAATCGATAAGATGTGTTCATTTGAGTCTTGACCATAATTTCAGCAACCTTTCCAAGCTCCATACATCCAAGAAAATCTTGAGTTCTTCTAGCACGACTGACGAAGGCTCTCAGCTGATTTGGCAAAAGAAGGTCTGCAACATCAAAATCCATAGCATAAATTTAAGCAAGTCTCACAAGCTTATCCACATCAAAATTAGAGAAGGAGTTCCTTGGGTTAAGAGAAGCCATGCATACTAATAATTCTGAACCCAAATCGATGATTCATCTTAGACAAATTGGAATCCATGGCAGCAAGGAAAACCTCAATATGGTAGAAATACATGTTTGTTCTTTGGTTCATAAAGTCATCACATCACACTTTAGCCTAGCATCATTGTGAGTCTTGCAAGTAGGGTGGTGATTAAAAGTTTCCTTAGCTTTTTTCCAATTATTATAACCTTTCATTGCAAAGGCAGAACTGCCAAATTTTTTAGGCTTCCCAGATCAAAGAAAAGATAACAATATAAACAATAAGCTTCATCCTTGGACTCACTATACTCAAGCCAATCAAACTCGTCAAACCAAGTTTGTTGAAATGTTCTCCATTGACCACTTTCCCATTTACAAGCAAAGGTAAGATTGCGAGGTTGGGTTGGACCTCTCAAAGCATATGCCCTTCCTACTTGGTCTCTAATTTCATGTGCATATTCTTCAATTGGTTTGCGATTTCTAGGATCACCAACTACATCGAATTGACTAAACTCCACAATGAGTATCTTTGGTTGATTTGTGCTGTCATTAGTGCCTCGTGTTGTCAGAACCACTAGAACTACAAAAATGTTTGTGCATTGTTCTTTTGGACATTTTGAACAATCTGTAATTTATTAAATCTTAATCAAATTTTGAACAATTATAAAGTTCAAAAAGGCAAATCTAAAGAAAAAGAATAGGTATACGGTATACCTATCTCACTAACTCTGACTTTGACTCACTGTTTCTCTCTGCCTGCTGCATGGCCCGCTAGTCGTCTGGCCGAGCCACCACACCGAGGCCCCTGGCCGGCTAGTCGGCGCTCGGCAGGCCCTACTGTTGCCACCACCCGCCTCACGCCACCAGACCAAAGCTGCTGTGCGCGGTTGCACGGCCACTGCTGCCTCCCACGTTCCCACCCTACGCTCGGCCGAGGCGGTCTCCACTCCACCGTCTGCGCATCGGCCCGTCAGCAACCGGCACCTCAATTCGCCGCTGCTAAGGCTCTAACCCTAGGACGCTAGCAGCCGCTGCTCACCCTGCCCATGACCGATAGAGGAAGGAAAAAAAACCATTCCTATTTCTTTCCCTGATAGGCTGGCTACTGACCGGCTTCTCTACTCTACATGACTACATGTCTAAATGGGAAGCTGAAACACACATACTGCCCCACGAAGGAATGCCAACTGGGAACACGCTTTCAACCTACATCCACCAGCGTCGTTGAGGACTCCAGCTCCTCCTTCCTATTGTTAATGGCTGAAATTTTTAGAGGAGGGGGGGGGGCTCTGCCTTGGTGGTAGATCCGCCCCTAGTTACAACCTCTCTCAATATTGGTTGAAGTATTTGCTTTTTATATTGACTGCATATGTACTCTCTAAAATAAATATATAATCTTTTAAAACAATCGTGATATCTCATTGATAGATAATATAGAAATCAGATCTTACTTTAGTTACAACATAAACATGTATGTGCTGCACGTGGAAGGCTAGTTTTATAAAAAAACAATCTTAATCAAATTTTGAACAATTATAAAGTTCATAAAAGGCAAATCTCAAGAAAAAGAATAGGTATACGGTATACCTATCTCACTAACTCTGACTTTGACTCACTGTTTCTCTCTGCCTGCTGCATGGCCCGCTAGCCGTCTGGCTGAGCCACCGCGCCGAGGCCCTTGGCTGGCTAGTCGGCGCCCGGACAGGACCTACTGTTGCCACCGCCCGCCTAACGCCACTAGCCCAATGCTGCGGTGTGCGGTGGAGCGGCCATTGCTGCCTCCCATGTTCCCACCCTGCGCTCGGCCTCGGCAGTCTCCACTCCACCGTCCGTGCCTCAACCCGTCGGCAACCGGCACCTCCGTCCGCCGCCGCTAAGGCTCTAACCCTAGGAGGCTAGCAGCCGCTACTTGCCCTGCCCGTGACTGATAGAGGAAGGAAAAAAAGCCAGTCCTATTTCTTTCCCTGATAGGCTGGCTACTGACTGGCTTCTCTACTCTACATGACTACATGTCTAAATGGGAAGCTGAAACACAAATACTGGCCCAGGAAGGAAGGCCAACTGGGAACTCATTTTCAACCTACGTTCACCAGCGTCGTTGAGGACTCCAGCTCCTCCTTTGTATTGTTAATGGCTGAAACATTTTAGGGGGGGGCTCTGCCCTAGTGGTAGATCCGCCCCTAGTTACATCCTCTCTCAACATTGGTTGAATTATTTGCTTTTTATTTTGACTGCATATGGACTCTCTAAAATAAATATATACTCCTTTAAAACAATCGTGATATCTCATTGATAGATAATATAGAAATCAGATCTTACTTTAGTTACAGGATAAACATGTATGTGCTGCACGTGGAAGGCTAGTTTTATAAAAAACAATCTTAATCAAATTTTGAACAATTATAAAGTTCATAAAGAGCAAATCTCAAGAAAAAGAATAGGTATACGGTATACCTATCTCACTAACTCTGACTTTGACTCACTGTTTCTCTCTGTCCCGCTGCATGGCCCGCTAGCCGTCTGGCCGAGCCACCGCGCCGAGGCCCCTGGCAGGCTAGTTGGTGCCCGGTAGGACCTACTGTTGCCGCCGCCCACCTAACGCAACCAGCCCAATGTTGTGGTGCGCGGTGGCGCGGCCGCTGCTGCCTCCCACGTTCCCACCCTAGGCTCGGCCTCGGCGGTCTCCACTCCACCGTCTGCAACTCGGCCCGCCGGCAACCGGCACCTCCGTCCGCCGCCGCTAAGGCTCTAACCCTAGGAGACTAGCAGCCGCTGCTCGCCCTACCCGTGATCGATAGAGGAAGGAAAAAAAGCCAGTCCTATTTCTTTCCCTGATAGGCTGGCTACTGACCGGCTTCTCTACTCTACATGACTACATGTCTAAATGAAAAGCTGAAACACACATACTAGCCCAGGAAGGAAGGCTAACTGGGAACTCGTTTTCAACCTAGGTCCACCAGCGTCGTTGAGGACTCCAGCTCCTCCTTCCTATTGTTAATGGCTGAAATTTTTAGGGCGGGGGGTCTGCCCTGGTGGTAGATCCGCCCATAGTTACAACCTCTCTCAATATTGGTTGAATTATTTGCTTTTTATATTGACTGCATATGTACTCACTAAAATAAATATATAATCTTTTAAAACAATCGTGATATCTCATTGATAGATAATATATAAATAAGATCTTACTTTAGTTACACCGTAAACATGTATGTGCTGCACGCGGAAGGCTAGTTTTATAAAAAAACGATCTTAATCAAATTTTAATCAAAGTTTGATGAATTATAAAGTTCATAAAAGGCAAATCTCAAGAAAAAGAATAGGTATATGGTATACCTATCTCACTAACTCTGACTTTAACTCACTGTTTCTCTCTGCCTGCTGCATGGCCCGCTAGCCGTCTAGCCGAGCCTCCGCGCCGAGGCCCCTGGCCTGCTAGTCGGCGCCCGGCAGGCCCTATTGTTGCCGCCGCCTGCCTAACGCCACCAGCCCAATGTTGCAGTGCGCGGCGGCGCGGCCGCTGCTGCCTCCCACAATCCCACCCTGCACTCGGCCTCGGCGGTCTCCACTCCACCGTCTGCGCCTCGGCCTGCCAGCAACCGGCACCTCCGTCCGCCACCGCTAAGGCTCTAACCCTAGGAAGCTAGCAGCCGCTGCTTGCCTTGCCCGTGACCGATAGAGGAAGGAAAAAAAGCCAATCCTATTTCTTTCCCTGATAGGCTGGCTACTGACTGGCTTCTCTACTCTACATGACTACATGTCTAAAAGGGAAGCTGAAACACAAATACTGGCCCAGGAAGGAAGGCCAACTGGGAACTCGTTTTCAACCTACGTCCACCAGCGTCGTTGAGGACTCCAGCTCCTCCT